CAGTTCAGAGGAGCGTTTGTCACCTGTCCGCATGGTAAGTCTCATTTGTTGTGATGTTAATGATTCAATATACTGACCTGTGGTATTATAAAGTATATCCATTTTCTTTATTCTCAGTCAAAGAAGAGAAGGCTATGTGTATGGCCTCAACAATTCTCCCCACAAGCAAGCAGTTCTGATGAAACCCACATAGAGCCCACATCATTCAGACCATGTATGTATTTTGACATGCATACATACATCATTTACAACATGTGTTATACTTAACAGGAGGAAAATGTTGATTGTGTGGCTTCAGTTGTGAGGGAGGCAAATGGATTCATTCCCAGTTATACTGCAGCGCCTTCCATGGAAGAGATAGTTTCATGTCTTCGTGGTAAGTTTAGTGGCTTATCAAAATTTAACCTATATTGTTCATAATGTTTGCAAGTAAGTAATCTTTATTTATATACCGCCTTTTAACTGCAGATCTGAGTTTCAAAGCGGTTTACAATTGCATTAATGCATTAAGGAAATTTAATTTACTTTTTATTTTTGAAGAACTGCCTGAAACCTTAAAATTAATCAAGGAGTGTGTGGAGGGTTAGGGTTACTGCTCACTTTTATGTCATCCCACAGCACTTCTTGCCTGGAAACAATGTTAGCGTTTCAAAAATGGCTTTTCCTGAATCAAATTTGCATGTTTTTCACACAGGAATTAGCTGTCCTTGTTTTCACGAGGGAGATATTGGCAACATCAGCCCGAACTGGAAAATCAGGAAGAAGGGAAAGGATGAGGTATCAACTTGATGCTACAAAAGTGCAACCCATAACAGGTGAGTGACCAAATCTGATTCAAGTCTCAGATCTTTTGCACAATAGGTATGAATGTAAATGAGAGAGTGAATGGATGGTGTTGATTGGGGGCTGATGCGCCAGTGTGTTTGGCAACTTGCCTCCGTCATCACCGTCATTGTAAAGCGCTTTGGATGACCTTGGTCTGTAAAATGCACTTTATATTATATATATAAACATTACTTACTATATTTACAAAACGGATTTGAAATTGTTTTTTTTTGTATTTTTTTTTGGCAGATGCAGTTTCCGAGGTTCGTGCAGCACTAAGACGGAAGTGCAAAAAAGAGCAGTTCTGCCAAAAGAAGGAATGAATACTTTTAAGTAATTATTTTATGTATACACTGTGTGTATGTTAGCTAGTTCCGGGGAGAAACGGCGACATGAGCCGACCGCATCCGGTGCCTGTGTTTCGCTGGTGATTCAGGCTAAACTTGGAGGTCGTTTAGGTCCGTTTCAAGTTCTCTGCTGTTGACTATATGCCTCAAGTAAAGCACACACCTCTTGTTCATGCTCCTCAAAGTGACAAGTGTGAGCGAGTGTCTGTTTTTGTGAAAAAGCATTAGACTCTCATGTCAAATCAATGTTAAAAACACATCATATTCCTTACTATTTTCCTTACTATTTTACGACCATTCTCCCTATAAATATTGAATTCTACCCCAGTTGGAATAAGTTCAAAGACAATAGTTGATGGTTTTAAGTAGTTTGTCTTTGACATGTAGGAGGCAGATGCCATGTCATACCTCAATTTAAAGCTATTAATGAGTTCTGTCCAGTCGGTGTTTTCAAGTTGATTTGACGCAAGAGCCGGACTGTGTTTGTTTGGGGTTTTTTTTCACAAAAACAGACACTCGCTCACACACTTGTCACCCTGAGGAGCTTAAACAAGAGGAGTGTGTCCTTTACTTGAGGCATTTGGTCGACAGCAGAGAACTTGAAACTGATCAGAAACTTCCTCCAGGAATTACTGGCGATAGACAGGGACTGGATGCGGTCGACAACTTGGACGTGAGATGTATAAGATTTTTTTTTTTGTGAATATGCATTTTATTTGAGTAAATTGAGTAAATAGTAAACAACTATTTTGAGAAAAAAGATGTTTTAAATATATTTTTATATATACTGTAAGTTAATTGAAAATATACTGTAAGTTAACTGCAAGTATGTTATGAATATACTTGAAGTTGCATTGAAATGTATTACTCAATCATGAATTAAATACCCAAAAATCAAGTATACTTAAAGTATAATAAGTGCACTTAAAGTTGTTCCATTTTAGTACACATTAGTATATTAAGTATACTTTCAATTTACTTTAAGTTCTATTTAAATTCAACTTCAATCTATTAAGCACAAAATAAGTTGTTTCAAAATAGCACACTTAAAGTTTATTTGACTGTTATTTCTGAAATATATTTAGTATGCTAAATTTCAGTATACTAAGTATATTTTTTTCCACCTGGGTTTATTTGATTCAATGCATTTTTCGAACACAGAGGAACCATTGGTCCATAGGTAGCGGGACGACCACCGTGCAGAAATGTTCATAAATGTCCCAGATCCCCAGTGTCCTTTTCAGATGATTTCCCCTATAATCTAGAACAGTCTTCATAAAGATGTGTGGGAGCCTGGAGGCCCCATCTCTGGAGTTGTTTGGTCCAGGCTGAACACTGTTCTACTACTAAGCTGTGCTTATGACCGAGTTTTATATCTCGAGTTTTAATTATAAAATTGAGTGTTGTTTTTAAATATGTATGATTGTATTTCTTTGTAAATCACTTTGGGTTGCACTGCATGAAATGTGCTTCATAAACAACTTGATTGACCTTAGACCCTTTTTCTAAACATCTGATAATTAACAGTCCAAGATCATTAATTTTTCTGCATTTGAATGAGAACGTTGTTTTTACGTCTCTGAAACTACTGTCACATTAGCCCCGTGTGGCTGGCACTTGTCAGTCCCTGCGTTCGTCAAACCGAGGTACGAACACGTTCAACAAGTTTCTCTACCATATCCCAAACCAGCAGCATTATCCCAACAGTGCGTTCTGAACAAAACACACTGTTGGGATAATGCAGTCAAAAGAAAGTCCCAAACATTGTCCAAAAGCGTGATGTCGTCTCCAAAGATTTCACCTACACACGACCAACACCCTGGAACCTGTTTTTCCGCATTTACCTCCACTTCATATGATACTTTTCCTTGAAACATTTTATATTTGAACAGAACACAGACGCCCCATCACAAGCAGGTTTGGGTCCACGTCTCCAAATGCGTTAATCCGTGCCAACCCGACCGGAACCAGCAGAAACCGTGAATGATGGCTGCTCACCGTGTCTGCGCGTGGTAAAAGTCGTCCAGGTTTTAGCTGAGTGGAGACAGGATCTGGTCCGAGGTTCGCGTCAGGTCCGGGGGTAAAGGCTCTGGATGACACGCGTGGAGTAATAAGAGCGAGTGATCAGAGTCAGAACGCGCTGAGATGTAGACTAAAAAGCCCGTGTGAGCGTGCGTGTGCCCGTGCATGCGTGCGCCTCCCTGCGGTGAAACAATGGGATTACACGTCAGCGTGGATAGATTAACCCTTCCCAGCCCACACGAAAGACCCGTATTTTGTGTGCAAGAATGAGTCAAACTAAAACAATAACAAAGCAGTGCACCCAGGACTACACGTTTTCCATTCTTGTTTATATTACACACTCAGTGTAAGAAGGAGCGCTACCGCAGGGCCTTTATCCCCACCGCTGTCAGACTGTACAATGTGTCACTGTATAAGACTGAAAAAAACCTGTACTATTGACACTATTTGATTTCCACTTTTTTTTTTTAATTGTACATAATGTATCCTGCATTTAACATGTTTGCACATTGATTGTTCCTATCCATGCCAAATGTGACATGTAAATTTCCTTTGTGAGAAAGCATTCATCATCTTTCTCAATCACCCTTAAATTATATATGTGAAATAATGAAGTAATAAAAATATATATTCTTTGGGGTTCGATGACCACAAACAAGACATATCGAAGGAAAGGACCACCTTCACTCGCCGATCAATTCCCAGGCCAAATAGTCACATACTGACTTACTCCTACACAAAGATAACATGTTAACACACTGGTGACCTCAGCCCATGCTCCTGGACAAAAGGCTCCTTCTCAGATTGAAGACACGACCAGCCACAGTCAGTGAGGTCCTGGACACAGCTACACTCTGGGCCCTGTTGAAACCGGTCTGGTCTGGACCCTGTGACACCATCAGCGTTTATCACCACAAAGACCCTCTGTTCAAACTGTTAAATGGCATTGGTCCATTTTACACCTCAGATAAAAGGATTAAACTAGCTCTCTTAACTACCCACCTTAACTCGCATGTGACAGCACCAGTTTAAGAATGTATTCAACTGGTGAAGGTACTCTGGTGTAACTTTAATCTCCAGCTACTGGCTCTAAAACAATTTTATCACTGGTTTTACACATCCTACATGTGTGACAAAGGTCAAACCTTTAGATCAGCTATTTCTGACAGAAGTGAAAAGAATGCCTCATTCTTCCAAAAATAACGTTTTCTTATGGGACGAAGACTGGTTTGGTCTGTATATCTGGTCACTGTCAGACTCTTATGATAGGGGAATCATTGAAAGTCCCATCTCATAGTCTAAGGAAAATAATGAGATCATAGTTGACGTGTGCTGACACACATAGATTATAGTTTAGTTAGCCTGACCAGCTAGCTAGCAGGCACGCCACCACAGAGAAACTTGTCACATGAACAAACGTCAGCACTTAAGCGTAATATACTTTAGGGTTATATGCTCCTCATCTTAAGGATAAGGAGGGACGAGACTTTTCTGTAGAAAGTAAAAAACAAAATGCAAACGTCAGTGTTTGGGCAATCTTATTGTCACAGTCAGTCAAACAGAAGAACAAAAATCCAAACAACAAAGACTTGTTTAGGTCTGCAACAGGTTTATCAGACGTAGGAGAGGCTTTGGTCAGAAAAACGGGGCCAGTCTCTGAAGGAGTGAGGTAGAACATTCCTACTACAGTTAACGTCCAACAGGAAATATATACACAAAACTTTAAAAACATCCTCCAAAAAAGGACAAAATCTTAAGCGCATCAGAGTTCAAGCAGGGGAAGAAGAGTGAAGCAAACCATCAGGGTCAGGGAACCTCTCCCACAGCTGCTGCCAGGCTCCTGATGAGGGGAGAGCTGAGCTCAGGGACCATGGAGATCTTCATCAGTTTGCTGCTGCTGTACTTGTTCTTCACGGCCTGAAACCACAGAAACTAGTCAAAACCGTAACAAGGTTGGACATGTTGCTATGACAAGCTAGAGTTTCCCCGCAAATGAAGGCATCCGTCAACATTTATTCAAAAACTTTGGACTCACGGTGAACTTAGTCTTGCCGTCATGGAGCAGCACCACATTTTTGGCCATGTGCTGCATGATGGGCTTCAGGTGAGCCTCGTCATAAGTGGAGTAGTGCTGCTGAGTGGGAGACTGAGGAGAGAAGGAGACACATGAGACGAGGGAGAAGGCCTAAGAGACTATTACAACAGTACAGACCCAGGGCAGGCCATGGAGCAACAGCTGGGATAGGCACAGAGCTGCAGCTGCGATCTCAGATGGGTGAAAGTGAACCATGTCATAGTCCAGCAGTGTCAGCTCCATCATGTATTTGGCCAGAGTGTGTCTCTGCACATCAGACTGAAACAGAAGCAGTTTGAGCTAGACACATGCTGGCCTCACCCACTCAGCAGCAGCCACTCTACTCACACTGCCCACTTTGGATGCCCTCCGGAGGAAGTGCAGGGGCAGAGGTCGTCCCAGCTGGAACTTAATGCTTCGTAGCACAACCCGCTCCATCTCCAGGATTTGGACTTTGCTGAAGGCGTTGTCAGTGATGTAAGCAAAGTCTCCCACCTCCGGAGCAAACATCTCCTCAAATTTACAGGCCACCAGCATGGCCGTCACCCCCACCAGCTGCAGCTTCCTACGGGATACGGGCTGAACCTGGGACAAAGACCGAGGGGGGGAGAGCACAGGGGTTCTCAAATGTAATGCAGAGAGTAGAGTATACTTGTGAGTCTCTGCGCTTGCCCTAGTGATGTTACATAACCAATGCAAGGATCGCCACAAGACCCTTTGCGTAACCACCCGTGCACCCTCGGATTTTTCTAACTATGAAGTCCAGCAGTGTCAGCACCATAATTTATGGAGCGCAGAGACGGTCCGTTGTGAGATTACGTTTTGGATGGAGCGGCGGGACATTGAGCAGATTGATCCTAGTAGAAGCAAAGAAGAAGCAGTTTGGGCTCATGAGCCTGAGGACTATAGTTTCTTTTTCACTGTTCTTATACATACTAATCGCATCTGGACCATGTTGCTTTCATCCTGTACTGTTTCCAACAAGAACAGTTTATATTCACTGCATCACAGATGAAATTAGTTATGAAACAATGCTAGTACTGTCACATAAACCAACACCTAGAATACAGATTTAATGAGCTCAAGCAGCTTGGTTCGCTATTGTTTGTTGTTATGAAGTAAGCAAGCACTTTATATAGCACATTTTAACAGACCAAGGTCACCCAAAGCACTTTACAATGTTCAGATATTTTTCCATTATCCCCCACACACTGATGACGGAAGCTAGACGCCAAACACACTGGCGCATCAAAGCCCAAACCAACACCATCCATTCACTGAATACATTCATACCTATTGTGCATGTTTTTACTGGAAAGACATGTAAACTCCACCCAGAAAAGCACTGTTCCATGGGATTCGAAGTCAGGACCTTCTTGCTGAGAAGCAAGAGTGCTTACTCAGCCACCACATCGCCCAACTGAAGAGGAGACAGTAGCTAGCGTAACTTTAAAATGGGGCCGCTTTGGTGTTCCAGGCAACTCCTGTGATAAAGTGATAATATTGTGAACGCGTTTGATATCAATAGAAAACGGGGTTCAATAGTTCACTTAAAAAAAAAAAAAAAAAAAAAAAAAAAACAGGAAAACACAGGAAATACCGCAAAGTCAAAAAAAAAAAAAAACCGACCGATATGAATTACTTATATTGTGATATAGTTTTCAGCCATATCTCCCAGCCCTACATTTACCCCCTTCACCCTCTTTCTCGCAAGTGCAGTCTATGGTGCGCGCACCCGAGTTATCGGAAAATGTTCTAAAAACTAAAAGCGCTGAACACGTTTGCCACCCACTTTCCCTGTTGTGACAAAGAAGAAAATGCTGGATGTTGGAGAGGCGAGGCGAGGGGGGGGGGGGGTCTGGACCCCCACTTTGGGAACGACTGAGTTGGCACACACCTGCAGGAAGCGATCCAGCACAGCCACAGTCAGATACAGAGTCTCCTGCAGCAGCTGGAACCTGGAGTGCACCTGGACTAGCCAGTCCACCAGCAGCGCCCTCATGCGGCCTGTGATCTCATAGCCCTGCATGTAGTGCGGCCGCACAGGCTGCTGCCGCTCCAGCTCGTGCAGATATCTGTAGATGTCTTTTACGTAGTGTGAGCAGAGCTGAGGAAGATCACAGTCTTCTTCATCCACATCCTCCACTGTGAGCAGGGCCTCAGAGAAGGCCTGGCACAGTGCAGTCTCCTCCTGCATAGAGACATCCTGCTGCAAGAGGCACTCAGGGGCTGGGACCCCAAGGGACATGGGGACCAGGACCTCTGCTTGCTTCTCTGGGAGCCTAATCTTGAGACAGGCTTGTGTCTTGGAGGCTCCCCTCTGTGGAAAAATGAGATGGTCCTTATGGAGCAAAGTCCAACTGTGACAAATATTGTTACCTTTGTATTGACAGCTGCAGGGTTGAAGTTAGTGAGTTCCCCCAGAGCAGCTCTCCTTGACCCCACAGTCGCTTTCCCCATCCGGCTCTGGTTCTGTGTGGCTCCAGGCTACAAACAGCAAGACCCCATGAGTATACAGTCTAAAAAAAAAAGCAGGAGTCTCCAATCATTTCAATCGGAGAGCTACTTTTATACAACAGAAGAGGGAGGGAGCTACTCCTTTTTTGTAGTCGTAATAAAAATCTGTGCAATAATTAAGATTGAACACACATGGAGAACACATGTAAATGTGCTATACATTTTATAACATTTTTTACTTATAATAGATTGAATACATTTTGAGTTGTTGCATTTCAGGACCATGTTTTCAATTCTAAATCCTGTGGGGAGCTACCCGAAAGGGGCTCCCGAGCTATAGGTTAGAGACCCCTGGTCTAAAGGCTGTGTCCGCATGACATCACAACAATATGGGTAGCCTTTAGTTTCAGAATGTGGTTCTCACTTTACTGCTGTCACCTTTGTTGTGTGCACTTGTATATTGTAATAATTCCATTTTAAAATGTTATTCCTTAGAAGTGTTGCCTATTTTTTTTTTAGGCTATGCCTTCTCTTCTCCCCTCTTTCTGACTGTTGCACTGAGCCAAAGCAATTTCCAAGTCTGAGACTTCCTGTTATGTGGCAATGAAAATTGAGGTTTCTCACTTTCCCCCCACTAAGTTTTTCCTTGCAGATGCAAGGTCAGACTGTTAGTGGTCCAACAAGACGGACGGTGGTGATGATCCAGGACACTTCTACATTTATCAACATTCATGGACATTGTTTAAACTCCCCCTATGGACCAATACTAAGGTGTTCTATATACATATGTGTTTTAACAGTTTGATTCTCTGACCTGTGTTGGCGATTTCAGTTTTGTTAAGTCCTCAGATGATTTAGGGCTATACAAGAATAAATTGAATTGAAAATCTGGTGGAGCAGCTGTGACAGCAACTATGGCAATTGTCCAAAGTCAGATTCTATATAGTCTAAGTTTGGAGCCAAAATCTTCAATTCCTAGAACAATCCACATGACAAACTGGTGTCCAGAAATGGGGAAAATTGCATAATTATGTTGACCACTAGAAATAACTTCAGACAAAATAATGATCTTTGTATTATGATATTCGTTCACCACAACTTTCTCGCGTTTCTTCTTTCTAGTCTCCTGCTCAATTACTAAACACAATTCTGCACCATGAACACGTATGACTAGCTAAAGGTAGAATACATGAGTAGGTATCGTTATCATGAGCTGACGCTAGCAGCAGCGCTGAGTGTTAGAAATCAGACTCAGACATACAGGGATCTTGTGCATCCAGCTTGGTTGTTTATTCACAAAAATGGTGGTTGATTCAGACAGAGCAAAAGTCAAGACATGGTTTTAGTCATTGTTACGTCACACATCGAAAGACATACGTGTCAATGTCACACAGAGACAGCGCAAATCATAGTCAAAATAATCAGGGTCCTTGTAGAGTGCTGCACGTAGGCCAAATCGCTAACTAATCCTAACATAAGCTCGGCAGCAGATAAAACTGTGCAAATTAAAGACTGATCCAAAGAGATTACTCACGTGAGCGCGGATGTCCAGAGACGACATTCTACACCAAAAGGGACGAGAATGTGAGAAACATGGGGCAGATAGAGTTAGCATTAGCCGTACACAATTCAAATACTGAGCCGTCCGTGCTGATTGGCGGGGAGGACTATGCCAGAGGACGCCGCTGATTGGCTGAGGCCGAGCGGAGAGACACTACTGGTTGGTGGTGAAAACGTATAAAACGTTATTTTATCCCAAATTCAGGGCCTGTTTTGTTTTTGTTTATTCGAATGTAAGTTCATAAGGATGAACCGCATACTCACTCACATGTACACGTACACACAACTCAAAGTGCTGAACAAAAGAAAAGAAACACTGAAATCCTAAAAAAATCACAGTATATAAGAGTAAAGTACAGATCGTCACTCGTTGCAGTGAAACAGGATGTGAATTTCTCCTACGGGGATCAATACACGTTTTTATTATACGGCTCCTCAGAGCAGCAGTAGAACGCTCCATTGATTTGAATGTAATTTCAAAACGTTCTACCGGTCATTATTTTCTATAACGGACCTCTCAAAACAATAATGACCGCTGCCCATGGCAACGCACTCTCTGCTTGTATTTCAAATGCGTGGATAACTCCGCAAGTAGTTCCGGCCACTCCGGAGCTAGCCACACTCAATCAACCCACTTAAATGTTAATCGGAGAATACTTATACATATACATTCTTCACACACGTGCACGGAAATTTTCAGAATTTTCTGGTCTTGTCTTCATGACAAAAATCCTATTTCTCTGCGTCAAAAAGCGATCGTGAAAAACCCGGAAGTAGTTCTGGCCGCTCAATAAACGCAAATGCCAATCAATCAACGCAATGAAATGTTTATCGGAGAGTGAATTATACATATCCAGTCTTAATACAAGTGCACGGAAGTTTTCAGAATTTTACGTTTACGTTTTCATGACAAAAACACTGATGTAATGCGAGAAAAGGCGATCCCGAAAAACCCGGAAGTAGATACCGGCACATTTTCGGACGCATTTGCAGAGGATCGAATTATGGATTTAGGTTAGGTTTATGTATGGGTCACTCACCGCTGATGTTCAGAATTCTTTGTTCAGTTTTCATGCAGTTCCAGAGAGTTCTAATTTGGAAGTTGCCAGCCTAACTGTTGCTAGCATCACAGACATATATAGAATAGACGCCGCATTGGTTGCTCGGGCACGAGAAATACGGCCGCCATCTTGGACCGGTCATCCTACAGCGCGATGCCTGAACACTGTGCGGCGTATGGCTGTCAAAATAGGCGGACTATTCAAAACAGGGCTCGTGGGATTACTTTTCACAAGTAAGATTTAACATTATTATTGGTTGTACTAGTTTGTTAATGGAATATTACTGAATTGTATTTATGTCACCAACGAAATCAGATACAGAACATCTATTGAATAGCAAACAAGCTAACTTACAGCAGCTTTGGTTCATTATCAAAATGCGAGTTTTGTTGAAGAGATGTTCTATATTTGAAGGAGGAAAATGGGAAGAAGTAATTAGGAATAATAGGAATTATGGTAATATATATATATTTTTGTTGTTGTTGTTTTATTCATGTATTTACATTTTGAAGGCAAAGGAAGGTTTCTCACCCATCATCTGTACTTCTTAGCAAGTTTTCCCGACGTTTCGTCCTCAACCTGGGGACTTCTTCAGGGAATGAATTCTCGGACCGCGCGTTGGAGATTTATAACCTATGGGTGTGGTAAGCCACACCCTAATCCTGATACTAACTCGTAAACAATCTCAGGTCTGCTTGATGTAGAAGGGAGCAGGTCTAACGACCCTGCTGAGGCTAACGACCCTAACTCCTTAGCATGTCACAGACCTATTGTCTGCTGGGATGCTCAAGTGGAGTGCAGGTTTCACCCCTCCTAACTCATTAGCATGTCACTGACCTTGTCCCAAGTTAGGGCGTTGTTTTTTAGGATGTCGTCATAGATGCGAGGCAAAACAAATCTTAACCCTCCTCCTCTGTTAAGAGAAGGTTTTTGTTTCCTCACAAAAATGGCTTCTTTCACTCCTCTCTCAAACCAATTCTTCTCCCGAGCCAGAATTTTAACCTCTGTGTCATCCACCGTGTGGTTGGAGGCCTTCAGGTGGAGATGAACAGCCGACTGTGGCCCACTAGAGTTTTCTCTACGATGTTGGTAAAGTCGTTTCTGTAGAGTTTGTTTGGTTTCTCCAATATAGTGGTCAGTGCACTCCTCTTCACTACATTTAATTGAATACACCACATTGCTCTGTTTGTGTCTGGGTGTTTTGTCTTTGGGATGCACTAATTTCTGTCTTAACGTGTTGAAAGGTTTGAAATACACAGGGATTTTGTGTTGCCTAAAGATTCTTTGTAGTTTCTCTGAAACTCCCGCCACATACGGTAAGGACACCCCTCTCCTCCTACTTTCTTCTGTCTGTTGGCCTGTGTCTCTGGCCTTTCTCGTCCTTTGGGCTTTAGTAAAAGACCACTTGGGGTAGCCACATCTGGAAAGTGCTCTCTGAACATGTTTGGTTTCTCTGTTCTTTCCCTCCGAGCTAGTGGGGACCTGGTGGGCTCGGTGTTGAAGCGTTCTAATGACCCCGAGTTTGTGTTGTAGCGGATGATTTGAATCAAAGGCCAAGTACTGGTCAGTGTGAGTGGACTTTCTGAAGACCTCAGTCTCTAATTGTTCGTTCTCCAGTATGATGACCTTACAATCTAGAAAGGCGAGTTCACTCTCCTTAGCATCCTCGCGAGTGAAATTTATAAAAGGGTCCACCGAGTTAATGTGTGCTGAAAATGGTTCCACTTCCTGTTCCTTTAACTTAACCCATGTATCGTCTACATATCGAAACCAATGGCTTGGCGCTGTCCCTTGGTACGAGCCCAGGGCTTGTTCCTCCAGTTTCTCCATATACAGATTGGCCACTATAGGAGAGACTGGGGAGCCCATCGCACAGCCATGAATCTGTCTAAAGAAGGTTCCTCTAAATTGGAAATACGTGGTGTTAAGACACATTTCAAGTATTTCACAGATGTGGTCAGCTGTTAGTTTCGTTCTCTCCCCTAGTGTGGCGTCTTTCTGTAGGCTTTCTCTTACAGCCTCCACCGCCTCTGTAATAGGGACCGACGTAAAAAGCGATGTCACATCAAACGAGACCATTGTCTCATCTGAGTCAAACTGGAGGTGTTTGATTTTATTTACAAATTCTTTTGTGTCTATGCTACATACAATAGGCCGAAGTGTATGTAGCATAGACTCTATCACCTACAACCTGGCTAAACACCTCAAAACCATTCTGGCTCCTTTGGTGGGTAACACCCACCATCACATAGAAAACACAAAAGAATTTGTAAATAAAATCAAACACCTCCAGTTTGACTCAGATGAGACAATGGTCTCGTTTGATGTGACATCGCTTTTTACGTCGGTCCCTATTACAGAGGCGGTGGAGGCTGTAAGAGAAAGCCTACAGAAAGACGCCACACTAGGGGAGAGAACGAAACTAACAGCTGACCACATCTGTGAAATACTTGAAATGTGTCTTAACACCACGTATTTCCAATTTAGAGGCACCTTCTTTAGACAGATTCATGGCTGTGCGATGGGCTCCCCAGTCTCTCCTATAGTGGCCAATCTGTATATGGAGAAACTGGAGGAACAAGCCCTGGGCTCGTACCAAGGGACAGCGCCAAGCCATTGGTTTCGATATGTAGACGATACATGGGTTAAGTTAAAGAAACAGGAAGTGGAACCATTTTCAGCACACATTAACTCGGTGGACCCTTTTATAAATTTCACTCGCGAGGATGCTAAGGAGAGTGAACTCGCCTTTCTAGATTGTAAGGTCATCATACTGGAGAACGGACAATTAGAGACTGAGGTCTTCAGAAAGTCCACTCACACTGACCAGTACTTGGCCTTTGATTCAAATCATCCGCTACAACACAAACTCGGGGTCATTAGAACGCTTCAACACCGAGCCCACCAGGTCCCCACTAGCTCGGAGGGAAAGAACAGAGAAACCAAACATGTTCAGAGAGCACTTTCCAGATGTGGCTACCCCAAGTGGTCTTTTACTAAAGCCCAAAGGACGAGAAAGGCCAGAGACACAGCCCTACAGACAGAAGAAAGTAGGAGGAGAGGGGTGTCCTTACCGTATGTGGCGGGAGTTTTCAGAGAAACTACAAAGAATCTTTAGGCAACACAAAATCCCTGTGTATTTCAAACCTTTCAACACGTTAAGACAGAAATTAGTGCATCCCAAAGACAAAACACCCAGACACAAACAGAGCAATGTGGTGTATTCAATTAAATGTAGTGAAGAGGAGTGCACTGACCACTATATTGGAGAAACCAAACAAACTCTACAGAAACGACTTTACCAACATCGTAGAGAAAACTCTAGTGGGCCACAGTCGGCTGTTCATCTCCACCTGAAGGCCTCCAACCACACGGTGGATGACACAGAGGTTAAAATTCTGGCTCGGGAGAAGAATTGGTTTGAGAGAGGAGTGAAAGAAGCCATTTTTGTGAGGAAACAAAAACCTTCTCTTAACAGAGGAGGAGGGTTAAGATTTGTTTTGCCTCGCATCTATGACGACATCCTAAAAACAACGCCCTAACTTGGGACAAGGTCAGTGACATGCTAATGAGTTAGGAGGGGTGAAACCTGCACTCCACTTGAGCATCCCAGCAGACAATAGGTCTGTGACATGCTAAGGAGTTAGGGTCGTTAGCCTCAGCAGGGTCGTTAGACCTGCTCCCTTCTACATCAAGCAGACCTGAGATTGTTTACGAGTTAGTATCAGGATTAGGGTGTGGCTTACCACACCCATAGGTTATAAATCTCCAACGCGCGGTTCGAGAATTCATTCCCTGAAGAAGTCCCCAGGTTGAGGACGAAACGTCGGGAAAACTTGCTAAGAAGTACAGATGATGGGTGAGAAACCTTCCTTTGCGTTGACTAATCCCTGTACGACTGAGAGCTTACACAAACTTACATTTTGAAGGTTTCCCAGAG